GTTTGGGTGGAGACTGATTTGTGTAGTATTTTAAATACTCTCATTACAACCGACACATGTATTGACATGCCTCTACCCATGTCGCCGCCACTATCACTGTCACCACCACCTTCACTGTCCCCACCCAGAGAATTGGAGCTACCCATTTCGCCGCCCTTGATTATGTCACTGTCCCCACCCAGAGAATTTGAGCTACCCATTTCGCCGCCCTTGATTATGTCACTGTCCCCACCCAGAGAATTGGAGCTACCCATTTCGCCGCCCTTGATTATGTCACTGTCCCCACCCAGAGAATTGGAGCTACCCATTTCGCCGCCCTTGATTATGTCACTGTCCCCACCCAGAGAATTGGAGCTACCCATTTCACCGCCCATGATTATGTCACTGTCCCCACCCAGAGAATTGGAGCTACCCATTTCGCCGCCCTTGATTATGTCACTGTCCCCACTCAGAGAATTGGAGCTACCCATTTCACCGCCCTTGATTATGTCACTGTCCCCACTCAGAGAATTGGAGCTACCCATTTCACCGCCCTTGATTATGTCACTGTCCCCACCCAGAGAATTGGAGCTACCCATTTCGCCGCCCTTGATTATGTCACTGTCCCCACCCAAAGAATTGGAGCTACCCATTTCGCCGCCCTTGATTATGTCACTGTCCCCACCCAAAGAATTGGAGCTACCCATTTCACCGCCCTTGATTATGTCCGCTTCCAATAGTGACAAACAATGTGATGAGGTTACGATCACAACCAAATCGTTAGATTGTATAACACCGATCAATAACTATACATTTTCTTCACATCTATCTCAAACAACTGATTTGAATAGACCAAAAACAACACTGAATGAATCCTTTCATCAAACCACACAATTGGAGGACAGTTTAAGATCGTTTATTCTTAATGAGATAACCTGTGTTAAAAAAGCTTTTAAAGCGGAGAAACTGCAGTTTAACAGCCAACTAGAACAACTCCGAGGAGAAAACGCTTTCTTAAGGGACGAAGTCAAGAGACTATCTAATGAAGTGCATAGCTGCAAAGATATACACGTTAACCTTAAGAAGCGTTTGATTGATCAAGAAAATATTTCTGCGTCACTAAAGAAACTCCTCACAACCAAGAAACCCTCTTGCAGCACAATATCCACCTCAACATGTGAGGATAATCAACAACTAATAAATGAAACAAAAATCACATCGGCAGGCATCATGCAAGAAGCTCCGTTCCCAATCCCTGTTAAAATTACACAACGTGAAGACAGATCACATTTATCCAAACCATCGGAACATTCGAGTCCCAGCACCCTGCAACGACCACGCACTAAAAGTGATTCTACACAATACAGCGTCCCAACGGTCAAGGCTGTCCATGTCCCAGTTGTCCAACGCTCTACTCACTACGGCACTAATAGAGATAGCACACAGCATGTCGCCGCCCCCCCCCACACCAACCAAACAACAAAACACCATTTGATCCTTGGTGACTCTACACTTAAAGGTCTCCATCCTGATATAATGGCCACGGATCTTTACGAGCGTGTATCGGTAATAGCGCTGCCTGGGGCTAATTTTGATAAAATTAGTGACGTTATTAGTAGCCGATCACGTGACTCTAATACCACAACTGTAACCTTACATTGTGGTGTCAACGACAGTCTATCAAACGTCAGACTGTCACAAGCTAATAAGCTAGAAATTGTTAGAAGTATCACTCACAAATTTCCCAACGCAACAATCCGATTCTCATCCATCGTACCCCCATGTCGGGGCAAAGGTAGGCACTTGATAGAATTAAATAATAGATTTTTACATTCTTTCTGTATTAGTTATAAATACTGTTTTATAAACAATACACCTTTTTTCACTGCGAAGTCAGGTGCCCCGAGACAACGCTTGTACAGTGACTGTATTCATTTAACTAAAATGGGAAGCAGTATTCTCGCTAAAAATATAAAGTATCCCCAAAGAGCCGTTAGCTTAACAGATAAAGACCATGTGCAACTTTCAAACGTAAAAGGTACAAAGGCTGATTTGGTTTCGACTGTTGATATGCTTCCAACAATATCTTCAGATCAATTGATCTCTAGCCCAGGCTTACATCACTTAATGGGCTTTAGCCCTTTGTTGCTTCATCAAGCTCTAATGTTGTCGCTTAAGCGCCTTCCTGGAACCTAACTTTTTCACTTACTATTTACTGGTTTAGCTCACGGTACTATTTTAATTATAATACATACTGATACTATTATTGATACTCGCTGCTCTTCACACTGCCCTAATATCTTTCTCTCTCTCTCTCTCTCGCTCTCTCTCTCTCTCTCTCTCTCTCTCAAAATAAATACCTATATATATATATATATATATATATATATATATATATATATATATATATATATATATATATAAGAGCAGCGAGTGTTTTTTTTTATTGGGTGACTAAGTGTGTAATTGTAAGACAATTATATTGATTCTGTTTAATTAGTTCATTATATTGATTTTTGTTTATAACGTCTCTTATTCATTGATATTTTATTATCTTTATGTCTATATTCATCATCCTGGCCCTCACAAAGTGGGCTAAAATTGGGTCATTTAAATATTTTCCACATATTTAATAAACACCATGAAGTTCTAAAAATTTTAAACAATTCCAACAATCCTTTCCATATCTTTGGTTTCTCTGAAACTCGATTACAATCTTTTATAAATGATGTTGAGATATCCGTCTCTGATTATAACCTAATACGCCGAGACCCATCCTTACACAAAGAAACTGGCCTTTGTGTCTATGTCCACTCCTCAATTCGTTTCAAGTACAGGAAGGATCTGTCAACGGACAATATAGAATGTATATGGATTGAACTGGAAAAAAGCAAACACCATCCGGCAATTTTAATTTGCTTCCTTTATAGAAATCCCTGCGAAAACATGGATTGGTATGATCGTTTTTGCTCCATGATGGATACCGTTTTATCTACTAACAATGAATATATCATATTGGGAGATTTTAATATAAATTTATTAAAACCTCAAGGATATTGGCAAGATATTATTGATTCTCTGAATCTAAAACAATTTGTGCACACGGCTATCAGGGTAAATGATAAATCAAGTACAATAATTGACCACATATACGCATCACCTGACTGCAACCTAATAGAGGTCTGTGTCCCCTCTTGTGGTGTTAGTGACCACTTCCCTGTTTGTTGTACTTTTTCGACAAAAAGATTATGTGTACCTTCGCGGCAACACATAACTATAAATTATTGCTCTTTTAGAAAATTTAATGAAAATCTTTTTCTTTCGGATTTATTGGCTGCCCCTTCTGCAATGTATACAATTATAATTGTCCCGATCTTGCCATTTCTGAATGGCTGCGTATTTTCTATACTATATATGACAAACATATTCCTAAAAATCTCTAAAAGGGTTGAGACTACATACAAACCTTCTTGGTTTAACAACAATATCGAATCTGCAATTAATAAAAGAGACTGGCTTAAACGTTATGGAACTTCTGAGGACTTTTGTAGGCAACGAAATTATGTCAAACTGCTCGTGCGTAGGTCGAAGAAGGAGTATTTTAATAAGCTGCTGTCAGGCAAACCTAATTCCAAATCTATCTGGACTGCCATGAATCAAATAATTAGAAAAAAATCGCACATGTAATATCAGACCTATTTTCTTTTAACATAAAATTAAATCGTCGTCTTAATTTACCATCTATCTAGATCTGAAAATATATTCAAATCTAAACTAAAACTACACTTATTTAATGACCTCTCTAACTGACTCATTGTAACATTTCTCATTAATCTATTATATTCTCTTTTTTATCTCATTTTGTATTATAACTATGTAACACTATTTCATTATTCCACATCAGTACATTGACTGAGTAGGTCATGTACTATAATTTCTAGACATTTGCTTCTGTAAATACCATGTTTTATTAAAACTTAAATTAATTTTCGTATTTAATGTAATTAAAAATGTGATTAAACGGGGAGGGGGCTGGGGCACCCTCTACCCCTCCCCACCCCCCCCCCCATCTAAGAAAAGCTGCTAAGGGATTTTTGCCTGTCACAGTTTCTTAAGGGTATTTGTGTTGTAGTTACATAGTCAAGGTAGAAAACAGTTAAATCAGTATTTCATGGCTCTTAGCCGTTAGATTTCTAGACTTTCTGCTAAAATTAGCTCAAAATTTTTTTCAACCCGTCCCCCCCTCAGGGTCGGCGCCCGGGGACATATGTACTCCCTGCCCTCTTGCTACGCCTCTGCATTCCATGTCACCAGCAGCACCCACCCCAACCCCTGTGTCAATAGCAACCCCATCTCGTGTCACCACCAACCCCAACCTGTGTCACCACCAACCCCCACCCCGTGTCACCACCAACCCCACCTCGTGTCACCACCAACCCCATCTCGTGTCACCACCAACCCCATCTCGAGTCACCACCAACCCCATCTCGTGTCACCACCAGCCCCATCTCGAGTCACCACCAACCCCATCTCGTGTCACCACCAGCCCCACCCCATGTCACCCCCACGCTGTATTATCTCAACACGGTGTCACCAGTACCTCCACAATTGATCACCACTTCCACAGCTCATGCGCTAAACTATTCCACCATCTGTTCAAGGCGCGCGTTATCACCAGCCCAACATCTGTCGAGTCGCACACACACACACACATATGCACACACACACATATACACACACACACTCATACACACACACACATGACGCTCTATTGATTCATGTTTAATCCATGAAAGTATTAAGCGTTCAGCGCGCATTAATCCTTAAACAGGTCATACGTATTCTAATTTTTTTTAAAGCTTTCTTTTATTTTTTCAAAACGTAAAATTATAGCGTCAATGACCATGAAATTCTTACATTCAATGACCTTAAGATTTTTATCATGTGATTTTCGCTTAAAGTATTTTTTTTCTTACTGTATAGATATATACATATTCAAGTTTATATCACGCATTTTTCAGTATTGGATGTAACAGCCTGGAGCCCCTGAGCCAGAGGATATGACTCAGCCACAATGATTCGACCAGCACTCCGGCATTTTTTCTTCGTGATCACACTCATCACGAGCACGGCTTTCATGCTGTACTGCATGACGGATGTATTTGGTGGCACCGTCATAGAGCACCCGCAAACGGCACGACAACCGGAAGTGAAGTGGGCGTCAACCGACATCTCCAGACTTCCGGTGACGATCAACCACGACCAGGGCAGGCTGGGAAACAAACTCTTCAAGTACGCTTCTCTGCTGGGGATCGCACGGTCCAATGGACGGGTCCCTGTGGTCGGTCCCTACGTCGATGGGGTCAACTTGGCAGGGATTTTTAACCTGTCGCATGTTGACCCCACGCTGAACGCTAAAGAGTGAGTAGAGTTTTGTTTTTTAATTATTTTTTAAAAAGTTGTTATTAGTTACGGTAGGGGGGTGGTCAAGCGTTAGAGTGAGTTGGGGTCGGCGTGGTCGAGTCGTTAAAGCTCATGGTTGCTAAACCGAAAAGTCTCGAGTTCGAACCCTCGGGCAGATGAGGCTCGTTAGCTGGAGACAGCCACTCTTCTAGGAGAGACAACTCCAAAATCAAACAACTGCTGCCTTGTAGCTTGTTCTTGATTGGACAAAGGCTATGGAAGCAAATCCAAAAAGAAAAGCAGGCTGAAATCAGAGTCAATGGCCTCAATGGCGCATAACCAGTTGACACGTAATTCTTAAATGTGTGGGCATGTTTCTTCCCTAGTCCACATTTCTATGTGAGTACCTGTCTATGTGAGTACCTGTCTATGTGAGTACCTGTCTATGTGAGTACCTGTCTATGTGAGTACCTGTCTATGTGAGTACCTGTCTATGTGAGTACCTGTCTATGTGAGTACCTGTCTATGTGAGTACATGTCTATGTGAGTACCTGTCTATGTGAGTACATGTCTATGTGAGTACATGTCTATGTGAGTACCTGTCTATGTGAGTACCTGTCTATGTGAGTACCTGTCTATGTGAGTACCTGTCTATGTGAGTACCTGTCTATGTGAGTACATGTCTATGTGAGTACCTGTCTATGTGAGTACATGTCTATGTGAGTACCTGTCACTGCTATGTGAGTACCTGTCTATGTGAGTACCTGTCACTGCTATGTGAGTACCTGTCTATGTGAGTACCTGTCTATGTGAGTACCTGTCTATGTGAGTACCTGTCTATGTGAGTACCTGTCTATGTGAGTACCTGTCTATGTGAGTACCTGTCTATGTGAGTACCTGTCTATGTGAGTACCTGTCTATGTGAGTACCTGTCTATGTGAGTACCTGTCTATGTGAGTACCTGTCACTGCTATGTGAGTATCTGTCTATGTGAGTACCTGTCTATGTGAGTACCTGTCTATGTGAGTACATGTCTATGTGAGTACCTGTCTATGTGAGTACCTGTCTATGTGAGTACCTGTCTATGTGAGTACCTGTCTATGTGAGTACCTGTCTATGTGAGTACATGTCTATGTGAGTACCTGTCTATGTGAGTACCTGTCTATGTGAGTACCTGTCTATGTGAGTACCTGTCTATGTGAGTACCTGTCACTGCTATGTGAGTACATGTCTATGTGAGTACCTGTCACTGCTATGTGAGTACCTGTCACTGCTATGTGAGTACATGTCTATGTGAGTACCTGTCTATGTGAGTACATGTCTATGTGAGTATATGTCTATGTGAGTACCTGTCTATGTGAGTACATGTCTATGTGAGTACCTGTCTATGTGAGTACATGTCTATGTGAGTACCTGTCACTGCTATGTGAGTACATGTCTATGTGAGTACCTGTCACTGCTATGTGAGTACCTGTCACTGCTATGTGAGTACATGTCTATGTGAGTACCTGTCTATGTGAGTACATGTCTATGTGAGTATATGTCTATGTGAGTACCTGTCTATGTGAGTACATGTCTATGTGAGTATATGTCTATGTGAGTACATGTCACTTCTATGTGAGTACCTGTCTATGTGAGTACCTGTCTATGTGAGTACATGTCTATGTGAGTACATGTCTATGTGAGTACATGTCTATGTGAGTACCTGTCACTGCTATGTGAGTACCTGTCTATGTGAGTACCTGTCTATGTGAGTACCTGTCACTGCTATGTGAGTACCTGTCTATGTGAGTACATGTCTATGTGAGTACCTGTCTATGTGAGTACCTGTCTATGTGAGTACCTGTCTCCCCACTAATCCATACCCTTTTACCACCCCCTCCCCTAACCGCCAAGGCCACATCTTTATGGTGGTTACATATCCCCAATCGGAATAAAGCGGGAGTAATCTCCCCTAAACGTTCTCGAATATTCTTATATAACACTAAGGGGTATGTCAACTCGGGATATAGACATGATTTTTAATCCATTTTTCATTACTTAAACTATTTAAAATAGAATAGAATCTCGTAGAAAAAAGAATTGCACACCAAATGAACAGCAAACAATATGTGTATAACAGTGCGGAATATTATTATTCATTTTCGTTTTTTTGAGAAATCGGTAATAGCGTATAGTACTATTTCCGATAAATGGAAATTTCTCAAAATTTGACAGAAGGCGGAAAATTAGATCTTTTACATGTATGTGAAATTTCGTCAATAAAAGTACAGTTTCTTATCCCGTAAAGTATTGTGTTAACGGTATAAGAAATAAATGTAGTAATATTGGTACCGTATGAATTGTGATGATCAGTAAAATCTGGAATTCAACCGGTAAGAGGGTCTGCGCCGCTTCTTTACCGGGAATATAGATTCTAGTATAGCTTTACTAGAGGTAATAATATCATTAAGGTCTGATGACTAAGGGTCAATTCAATGCCCAAAGTTTACAGCCTTATTAGAATAATAATGGGTTTTACCAGGTCCGATGACCTCTTGTCTCTGGCAAGGGTTTACGGCCGGTGAATAAAATAGCAGGTCCGATGACTACGGGTCAACTCAATGCCCGCAGTTTACGGCCTGTAGTAAAATAGAATGAGGCTGTGTATAATATAATATCTACTGCTCCGTGGCTGACACACGTGCAGGATAAAAGTAGTACAAAAGGTAACTGAAATATCTACTCAACTGCCACGTGGAATTACGTCACAGGCAGGAATAGTTTAGGTCAAATAAGTATTTAAATGCCCTGTGTGCTAAGACACGGATATTGTAAAGTTTAGTTACGTAGATCAGGTAAGTTATCAACTGTCACATGGACTAAGCCACGAACAGGGTAACAGTGTACAGTAACAGTATGTAAGCAATAATGCATAACAGCAAGATAATATATATGATATTTATTGAAACTAGTTTTACAATGCTAATCAACTATGCATATGAAAATTGGTAAAGTAAACGTAAGAAATAATTAAGTAAAACCAAACCCAAAAAACACGTGGAGGTCGGGCCGACGGCCCCAACGCCGCGTGTGACACCACCAGCTGAGCTCAGTGCTGGGAGAGTGCGAGAATCCCTTTGTTGCATCCCCTTATATGCCTTTACATTGGCGGTGTGTCACGTGGACAAACTAGCCAACTAGAGAGGGGCCTGCGAGGGGGACGAAAGATAGGAATGTACGTAGTTGTATAGAGGGGGGGGGGAAAGTATAGAGCAGGTAAGGGGTGGTGTAAGAATAACGTGGAGCTAGGCCTAAACGGTTTTACCGTCACATATTGGTCTAAGCTCTAAGCTCTCTTAAACTTGATCAAGTATTGACGTTTTAGTTGGGAGTTGACTGAGCTCTCTGAACGACATCTGTCACACAACAGATGAAGAGCGAGTATAGAAGTACACAATTTTTAAAATTTATTCACGTCAACTCTGACCCCGGCACAGCCGGAAATAACCGGCAACCGGCTGTTTACGTTATCCGCGTACTAGTGACGGATGTCGGCCTGAGTTGTTTGTGCGTGTGCATATGTGTGTGTGTGTGCGTGTATGTGTGCATGTGTGTGTGTGTGTGAGTGTGTGAGTGCGTGCGTGTGTGTGGGTGTGTGCGTGTGTGTATGTGTGTATGTGTGTGTGTGTTTATCTGATAGCGAGGTCCTGGGAGAGTTGTTACGTGAGACATTGTTTATTTTCATTAGGAAAGGTGTCACATGGGGTGATTAGCCAGGGATATGTGGTGTTATGGTGTGGAACTGTGGTGGGTGGTGAGGGGCGGGGTTAGGGAAGGTGTCACATTAGGTTATTAGCAAGGGATATATGGTGTTATGGTGTGGAACTGTGGTAGGTGGTGAGGGGAGGGGGTTAGGAAAGGTGTCACATTGGGTGATTAGCAAGGGATATGTGGTGTTATGGTGTGCAACTGTAGTGGGTGGTGGGGGGAGGGTTTAGGGAAGGTGTCACTTTGGGTGATTAGCAAGGGATATGTGGTGTTATGGGGGGGGGGGGGGGGTGATGTGGCTGTTTGCGCGTGCTGCAAGATGAACTGGGGAGGGGGGTAGGATAAGTTGAGGACTAGTGTCAGAGCTAAAAGATTATCTAAGCTCTGCAATAGGTGACAGATGTTTTAAAGTTTAGAAAAGTATTTTCTTTTGTTTTTTACTCGAATAAATGCATCGTCTGAATCTCAACATCACAGCTTCAAATTAAATAATGTTTATTTTTGAGAAAAAATCCATTTCTTGTGCTTACCTGTTTGAGTAATTATAAAAATAAAATTTTCCATAAGAATTTATGAGTTTTCACATATAACTCGAAACATAAGGGAGATAACCGAAGTATTCGTTACACCGATTTTTTATTAACTTTGTTACCTCCCTTTATACATTTGATACATTGGTAAAACATGACTCGATCCATCACAATTAGAATTGCGTAGGTCTAAATGTTTATAACCTTGGTGAACTACTAGGCCTATCATGTGTATAAATATTTCAATTAAATTATACACGGATGTAAATTAAAATATTTTTTCTCCCACGATGACAGTTGGATGGAGATAAACGAAACAAACTACGCGGAGAGAGATGACAGATTTATGTCCCTTCCCCCTAGGCCCGTCAAGGTTCACGGGTACGTACAGTCGTGGCGATACTTCTACAACATCAGGGACGAGATCAGAAGAGAGTTTCAGCTGCAGGAGCGGTACAGGTAAATGTTGTGGTGGTGGTGGTGGTGGAGGTTGTAGTTGTGTGTATGGTGTAAATAGTGGCGTGGCTTCACCATTACTTACTGACACAGCAGCTTAAATTATATATGTAACTTATTTTACCAGCGATATATATATATATATATATATATATATATATATATATATATATATATATATATATATATATATATATATATATATATATAATGTAAGCTACATATATAAATATACATATATACATATATATAATTTATACAACATATATGTATATATATGTATATGTATATTTAGTATATAATTTATACGATATATATATACATATATATATATATATATATATATATATATATATATATATATATATATATATATATATATATATATATATATATATATATATTTACAGAGGTTTTTGAATATTGGATGTTTGTTCTCTTGTCTCTGTCTAAAGCCTTGCATAAAAATATAATATTTATAGATGTATTTTAACATATATTTATTGATGGGTGCATGGCTGTTTTATTTAATTTAAATTTTTTTATATTACACACTTAGCATTAATTAAAGTAATGAACTCAATCTATTTTTATCCCCCACCACCAGACAGGAGGCCCAGACCTGGAGGTCGTCCATCCTCGACTCTGCTCGCTACAACGCCGCCACCCTCGTGGCCGTGCACGTGCGCATGCGCGACGAGTTCTCCAACCCCAACACCACCGAGGCGCCCCCCTCCTTCTACACCAACGCCTTCAACACCATGCGGGCGCTGCTGCCCGGCGCCCGACTCCTCTTCATCGTGACCGGCAACAACCTGCAGTGGTGCCAGGACAACCTGCAAGCCGAGGACGTCCTGGTCCTACAGCCGGACACACCGGAAGTACATTTCTCCTTCCTGTCGGTGTGTGACCATGGCATCGTTTCCGCTGGAACTTTCGGCTGGTGGGCGGCGTGGTTGACCGGCGGTCACGTGGTCTACTACAAGAGGTTCCCAATTCCAGAGTCATACGAGGCGATAGGGTTTGTGGCGGAACATTACTACCCGCCATCTTGGATTCCTGTTGACCATTGAAGCGAATCGGAGACTGGTTCTGGTTGATGCATCTCTACAGTTAAACATGGCTGGTTTCATTGGTGGGATGGTTGAGTTGATGATGGGGTGAGGTGATGGTGTGATGAGGTATTGTGATGAGTTTATGACTCTATGAGGTAAAAGAGTGAAAAAAGATCAGGTCATTGGGTGATGTTGTCACGTGATTAGGTCATGAAATAATGAGTTTGTTTAATATATGAGAACAAGGGGAAGCGATCAATTGAATGTTTAAAGATCATCAAAACATTTTAGGATAAAACATGAAATATCACACATTATCAACCGTTGAAAAAAAGAACACCGCGTAAAATTTTATGAATGTATGTGTTTAAGATTTGTGCTAGCATTTTTTGTGACAGCCAGTGGATAGGAAGCATTTTTCGTGTGAAATATGGGACGTAAATTATTTAATGTGAAAAAATATTTAATGTTAACCATTTAATGTGAGAACCTTGGAATGTTAACTATTTAATAGAGAACTATGGAATGTTAACCGTTTAGTGTGAGAACTATAGAATGTTAACCGTTTAATGTGAGTACTATAGAATGTTAACCATTTAATGTAAGAACTATGGAATGTTAACCATTTAATGTAAGAAATATGGAATGTTAACCATTTAATTTGAGAACTATGTAATGTTAACTATTTAATGTGAGAACCTTGGAATGTTAACCATTTAATGTCAGAACTGTGGAATGATAACCATTTGATGTGAGAACTATGGAATGTTAACCATTTAATGTAAAACTAAATAATGTTAACCATTTAATGTAAAACTATAGGATGTTAACCATTTAATGTAAAACTATAGGATGTTAACCATTTAATGTAAAACTATAGAATGTTAACCATTTAATGTAAAACTATAGAATGTTAACCATTTACTGTAAAACTATAGGATGTTAACCATTTAATGTAAAACTATAGAATGTTAACCATTTAATGTAAAACTATAGAATTTAACCATTTAATGTAAAACTAAATAATGTTAACCATTTAATGTAAAACTATAGGATGTTAACCATTTAATGTAAAACTATAGAATGTTAACCATTTAATGTAAAACTATAGAATGTTAACCATTTAATGTAAAACTATAGAATGTTAACCATTTAATGTAAAACTATAGAATGTTAACCATTTAATGTAAAACTAAATAATGTTAACCATTTAATGTAAAACTAAATAATGTTAACCATTTAATGTAAAACTATAGAATGTTAACCATTTAATGTAAAACTAAATAATGTTAACCATTTAATGTAAAACTATAGAATGTTAACCATTTAATGTAAAACTAAATAACGTTAACCATTTAATGTAAAACTATAGAATGTTAACCATTTAATGTAAAACTATAGAATGTTAACCATTTAACAAGAAAACTTAGAGATGTTAACAGCATACAATGGTAAAAAGTTTGAAACTCTGACCCACATCTCACGCCTTGTCAGTGATATCTCTACACCACCTTCCACCATAACTTTCATGATGTGAATCTTGCACGAAGATGACACTTGGGCTAAGCAATAGATCGCACTTGTACGTCGGTTAATCCAGGATTATGAGAGCATGTAGGTTAGTTCACGAATATAACAAAAATCATCTACCCCTAATGAACTTGTTAATATATTTTGTTTTGCATAATGCTGTGATGTAGTGGTCTGTGGCGTTACGTCGGTTGTATGTCTGTGTGTCTATTTTATGTGTGTCTAGATATCTGTTATGTGCTTTTATATATATATATATATATATATATATATATATATATATATATATATATATATATATATATATATATATATATTATATATATATATGTCTGTTTTATAAATGTCTGTTTATATCTTCTTATGTGTGTCAGCATGTATGTACTTTGAATGTATGTCTCTCTCTATACTTGATTCATTTGTCCCTATGAAACCCATAGAAAAACGTGTATTCCAATGTGCCTGAACATAAAAGGGTTTTATATTTATGATGACAATACAACAGTTTCTAAGTGGCATCTTTGATTGCTAGCCTGAAGATCTCGAGTTCACACTTGTGATTTACGACGTACCTGAGTCCACCCAGCTCTATTGGGTACCTGACTTACGTTGGGGAAAGTAAAGGCGGCTGATCTCTACTTTATCTGCCCAATGGATCGTTAGGTCTAAAAATGAGCTTCACTTTCAGGCAACAACGTTTTTAACAATCTGTTTTACACATTTGACACGTCATTTTACATACTAGTGTAATGTTAAAAAAAATTAAATAATTAATAATTGCAGATATATGTTGTGGTTGTGTTTCACGAGTGACAAAAAGCACATTTAACTTTCTAAAAAAAGTTACTGGTACACATTTATTAATCACATGCATTGTTATAAAATAATATTATATGTTTTATTTATAAAGTGTATATAGGAGCTCCTTATTTTAAAACAATTTTTTATTGTTTAAATCTGTTTAATAACTTTATTTATACATATTAATCTGTTCGTGTTTATGCAACATTTTTCATGTAAAATGTTTGGAAGTGGTGGCCTAATATCTCAGCACCTTCATGTTTAGAAAAATTTGTCTGCAATGTGTTCATTCCCGAAAATTGGATCTCATATGTATTCATTTTATCAATTACTTATTATAGATCAATTAATTTTTTTAATTACTTATACATCAATTTATTTTTTAATGGAGTTGCCTTGTTGATGTATTTAGACATCTATACTTAAATAAAGCACACATAATGAACTATAATATATATGCTTTCTGTCTCTAAAATAAACTCAGCAGTTGTTTGAAAGTATTACAGATATTTTAGTTTGGTGGAGTGTTTGAAAGTATTACAGATATTTTAGTTTGGTGGAGTGTTTGAAAGTATTACAGATATTTTAGTTTGGTGGAGTGTTTGAAAGTATTACAGATATTTTAGTTTGGTGGAGTGTTTGAAAGTATTACAGATATTTTAGTTTGGTGGAGTATTTGAAAGTACTACATATATTTTAGTTTGGTGGAGTGTTTGAAAGTATTACAGATATTTTAGTTTGGTGTAGTGTTTGAAAGTATTACAGATATTTTAGTTTGGTGGAGAGTTTGAAAGTATTACAGATGTTTTAGTTTGGTGGAGAGGTTGTAATTATACCAACAGTGTTATATTTTGGTCAGGGTGTTAGCCAGTCTCATACACTCACCAACATACGTTTTGGTCAGGGTGTTAGCCATACACTTCCCAACATACAGTTTGGTCAAGGTGTTAACCATACACTTCCCAACATACAGTTTGGTCAGGGTGTTAGCCATACACTTCCCAACATACAGTTTGGTCAGGGTGTTAGCCATACACTTCCCAACATACATTTTGGTCAGGGTGTTAGCCATACACTTCCCAACATACAGTTTGGTCAGGGTGTTAGCCATACACTTCCCAACATACAGTTTGGTCAGGGTGTTAGCCATACACTTCCCAACATACAGTTTGGTCAGGGTGTTAGCCATACACTTCCCAACATACAGTTTGGTCAGGGTGTTAGCCATACACTTCCCAACATACAGTTTGGTCAGGGTGTTAGCCATACACTTCCCAACATACAGTTTGGTCAGGGTGTTAGCCATACACTTCCCAACATACAGTTTGATGTCTCGCCCACCCTTGACTACAATCTTAATCCAACCCCGAGTGAGCATTTATTTGTACTTTTAGCTACAAGAATAAATAAACCGGGAGTGATCTCCCCTAAACTTTCTCGAATATTCTAATATAACACTACGTGGGATGTCAACTCGGAATATAGACATGATTTTTGTTTACTTAAACTTTTAAAAATAGAATAAAATCTAGTAGAAAAAAAAATTGCGCACCAAGCGGGCACCAAAAACCGAATGTGCGTAATAGTGCGCAATATTATTAGTACTTTATAAATTTACATGCGTTTTTTGAGAAATCGGAAATAGCGTAAATTAGTACTTCCGGTCAACGGAAATTACTCAAAATTTGATAGAATGTAGATAATTAGATCTTTTACTTGCATGTGAAATTTCATTTATCTATCTGAATTAGTACTCAAGTTATAGGCTTTTGAAAAATTCAAAGTAGAAAAAGTACCACTTCCGGTTATCGGAAATCGCTCAAAAGTTGATACGGATCTACGATTTTGATATAATACTTATATATGAAATTTTATCAACCTAGCTGTAACGGTACTCAAGTAATCGTGTTTACACACAGACAGACACACAGACACACACACACACACAGACATACGGACAAGATTGCAAAATTATGTTTTTCCGTATCAGTGAGGTGTAAAACGTCGAGATTTGTAAAAATCTCGATTTTTTTTTGCACGATTACAATACTTTCTCTATACTACGTATATACGAGAAAGTAAAAAAAGACCAACATTGCAAAAAATAAAAAAAATGTGTGATTAAAAAATATTGATAGATTAAAATTAAATTTATTTTTAACATTTTAACAATTAATAGATCTACTTCAAGATATTTTTCGGCATCGTGTTAAACTCACTTGATAGGGGGGAGGGGGGCGCTTTTTCGCCAATGAGATTCACTTACTCGCTACACTGTTAATGCTAAGTTCTGTATAGAACGTTTATCTACCAACTTACTTCTTACACTCCTAATGCTACTATTTGTTCACAAACTTAAAGTAGCTTTCTTTTACTTAACTTAACTCAATTAAACTAAAATGCGGCTGTACAATAAAGTTGTTTACAACTTTTGCATAATTTATTTTATTCCCATTGCTCTTCTCTTCCCTGGTCCCCGCCCTTGTCACCATGTTTTTCTCACCTCCACCTGCGTATTGTTCAAAAAAACCGGTCAGGCGGTTTGTTTCGTCCCTCCCCCCTCCCTATTAGAATGTTACAGCATGTTAGATATGCATGTTTCATTTAAACGCTCTAAAGCGCGACTAAGTAACATGCGTTTTGAAGTGTTTTTGTCCACATGTGTGAAGCCAACTGTACTTCCTGTACCTTTTATCATTTGATCGACAACATGAATGTAAAATTTCTCATTTGTTAGGGTGATCGGTCGTTGAGTTACATCTCTTTCTCTCTCT